GTTGTTCCATTTCTTCCCCAGAATTGAGATTAACCTATTGACCTTTTCCTAGAAAATAATCCACGCAATATTACGCATGCAGTTTCCATAGTATGACAGACAGGTCGCATGAAATAAACCAATCAAACTTTGGGGCGTCAAGCACTTTAAAGACTTAGATAAATAAAGATACAGTTTCCGACAGCCGTGACCAAAGCAGTTTTAGTTCTACGAAAGTGCTTCTTCATTTCAGCATTTCAAGATTTTCGGCGCCAATTATCTACTGATCGATTGCTATGGCCGACTTTTACAATCCAATGAGCGATTGGAAGGATGTAAAAGAGTGCATGGATGAAAATGGTGTGTCGGGTTTAGCAGAACTCTTCAAAGAGCGCTTGGAGAGATGGAAGAAAACGGAAGTGAACATCGGAATCACTGGTAACTCCGGAGCAGGCAAATCGAGTTTTATCAACGCGATTAGGGAGTAAGTATGCTCTTTGTTTGTAAAAACACCGAATAATTAGTAACGATTGAGAAAACTTGTCATGTCCACTTTTCTAACTGGAAAATGACCGTTAATTTCCGTTGAATTATTCTATGAATTTCACTTTCGCGTTTTAGCCGCTGAAGAGCTTATTTATTTAGAGAGTGGTTATTTCGTGGTTATGCAGCTGAGTTCAATTCTTCTGCCGCATGTTGTAGGAATGCTTCGTCCGTCTCTCGTTTTCAATTTCTGTTTTAGAGATCCTGTACGTACGTAATTCCCGGCGTTAGGGTGACGGCGTAATTCGAAAATCAGATTTCGTTCGTCTCTGAATACGAGGATTACGTGAAGCCACTGGTGAACTCCTGGAGCCGAAAGAACACTTTAGTTCCCCTTCGGAGGGCATTTATCTCGTCCCAAAAACCAAGGAAAAATTAGCTCGCAGACCTTTGAAGCATATGGTCACACAAAGTGTCTCAATTGTATGTATGCCATTGGTTCATCATTTGCACTCCACTGTGTTTTTACAGAGTCCCGTTTTTCTCGAGCCCGTTGTAGATGATTTCTAATTATGCTGGAAATTTTCCCCTCGACTATCAAAAAGCATTTTAGACGATACAAGGGGAGATTTCGAAAATTGCAAAAATTCATGAAAGATTGATTCTAAAATTAGGATTTTCAGATGGTAATAATAGAGATTTCGCGAAAATGCAAAATGTGGAAAATTAAATCGTTTACTCCACTTTCTAGCCTTAATGACGATGCTGATGGTGCTGCCCCTGTTGACGTCACTGAGTGCACTATAGAGCCCACATCCTTTAATCATCCAAAGTATCCAAACATAAAGTTTTGGGACTTACCAGGAATTGGAACTCCGAATTACCCTGACCTGGAAACATACCGCCAAAAAGTACAGCTCGACAAGTATCAGACATTCCTCATTTTTTCAAGCAGCCGATTTACCGAGAACGACATCATATTGGTCAAAGAGATCAAGAAACAGGGAAAGTCATTTTTTTTCATTCGCACAAAAATTGATGAAAATGTGCGAGCCGAGAAGCGAAAGGAATCTTTCAGTGAAGCTGCTGTGTTAGAGAAAATCCGGCGCGATTGTATGGAAAACCTGGTTGACGAGGCTGGCAAACCTATGTGCAGTGAGGATGACATCTTCCTGACAAGCAACCATCATCCAGACAAGTGGGATTTTGGTGGACTTGCCCTAGCGATTCGTGATGTATTGCCAAGATATCAGCGAGAGACCCTCACCTTGTCTCTAAATGCCCTAACCAGCTTGTCAAAAGATATTCTGAAGAGAAAAGTCGAGGTTCTCGAAGGGCGGATGATGTATGTTGCAGGGGCATCTGCTCTAGCAGCGGCGACTCCGGTCCCTGGGCTATCTTTTGCCGTAAATGCCGGTCTCCTTTTGAAAGAAGTTAGAGAGTACATAACGCAGCTTGGCATTCCTGAAAAAGGGTCCCAAAGATTTGGGAGGCTAAGTTCTGCCACCCAGCAGGAGATTCTCGACCTTTTAATAAAGTTTGGCACTGTCCCTGGAATTGCCTCTTTTCTTGCCAGTGAAGCCGCCACTGAAGATACCGGTGTCCTGGGAGTAATCGCTCGGTTTATTTCGTTCTTTAGTTTAACGCCCGATGACTCTTTGAGTTTTCCATGTATATATTTTCTTCTTTGCCGTTCTTTAAAAAGAATTGAAGCAGTAGCATTAGCAGTCCTGGAGGAAGCTGCCCAACAATCAATTGACGATTTAGATCTTGATTAGACTTATAAAAGTCCAAGTTTATTAGACTAGGAGCCATTATGAACCTTGGTTTTATTTGATTCATAGCTGTCAGTGCACCAAGCTTAATTCAGTTGTAGAAAGAAAACTGGTAGTTAAAGTTCAGTGCTTTCCTTTCCACGAACAGACGAAAGTCAGACACTGAAAGGTGAACGCTTCTACGTTATTACTAGGCGACTCTGATTTCTCTTTGTCATTTAGCAAACTTGTAGGTATAACCAACAAAGCTGTGTCAATCTTACCTTCAGTAGTGTTTCTGCAAAGTAGAGTTAAGTAATAGCTTAATTGTTTTCATTTTTTTACAACATTGACAAGTAACAGGGACGGTGCTATAAGTTGAGGTTAAAGACTGTGATAATGAAGCTGAAGAACCGTATAAACTTCGGTATCGATTTCCTCGTATGAAACATTCTCTTTGCTACTGAGAATATTTACTTTTTCACGATTGGTAGATTCTCGATCGGGTTCACCTCCTGATAGGAAATTGACTTTTTTTAGCAACTGTTGCAGCTTGGTTTATGTAAAGTTGGGAAACTGAGTGAAATCTGGTGTTGAAAATGTTCAATCTATTGCTCAAAACACCGCCCAGATGCAGCTCTTCTCCTACTAAGAGTTGATTTCTTTGGTCGAGCGTTTGAGGGATATCCATCACGGGAAGTGAGTACAAGTACAAAAAGTGAGCACAGGGGACTGTTTATAGTGGTGGGAGGGGCGAAATGAACATTAGAGTAAATACATAAAGCACACTCTCGGTTAAGAAAACACTTTTGCTGTGCGTGAGAGGCATTCTATCACGTATTTGCAAGTAGGCCTGTTGGATCAACTATCCACAGCCACAAAGGTCACAAATACATTTAACTTCATTCGTATCGACTACTTATGTACAAAACAACCATGAAGCAATGACTTGATATCCCCAGAGGTCAACCACTGGTTACAAATGTGAGGTTTTATTAAAGCTTTACGAAGTGCTTATACCCTACAGGTGTTCAGGACGACTTCGCATGTTTATCATGACAATATATGTATGTAAATACTCACACAGCAAAAACAATAAATAATATGTAAATTTATAAACTTTTTCCGCCAGTGCGACCAAATACATGATTCTCTTCCTCCATGATAAAACTCACTTTTTCTGTCGCGACAAGCCAATATGATCTCGTAAATCTTTTCTAGTGAGTACATATTTTTGATGTCAATCACTGAAGTTGCTGTAGATGACTTATTTTTCAAGTGTCACGTCACCATTCTCTAAAAAAACAAAACAAAACCACTGTGCCTTAGGTTTTCCCCTGCCCAAATTATCCCAGACTAATGATAGTCTCGACCGATAAAATCGAAGAGATTACTGAACGACAAGATTTTGCTCCATATCTTCGCAAAGATTTAATATCATCGTTTCATCTTTTCGGTCTGTCTTCAAATTTACCAATCAGCCTTTGGGGTGTAATACGCTTTAAATCAAAAAGTTTCCCATAGCACACTGGACCACTAGTCGTTCTCCGAACCCGGTTACACCAGTTGAGCACAAGATTTCTCTTGCAATTTCCAACTGATCGATCACTATGGCCGACATTTATGATTCAATGACCGACTAAAAGTTCTAATGCATGAACATTTTTCGTGTTATCCACCAGGCGTAAATATAGAATTCGTAAAAGGAGAAGCGCTACACCTCCGAGGAACGAATTCGTCACACTACAAGTTTTCTGGAGTTATTTTCTGCGGAAGAAAGATTACTTGAACGCAAAGTAAATAGTGCACAAAATAAGATATTGCCTTTTGTAACACAATCTCATGCGGCTTTGCCAAGCCTGAACAATGTGCAGATGGGGAAATGATATCTTAAAACTAACCCTATTATGACATCGCAAAGGAAAGTAATTAAAACTAAGATATCCCGGTAATAAAGGCTGACAGTTTCGAAAGAAACTGTTTGAGGCTGCGGCGGTGGGGGTAAGGAAATAATTTGGATATATCAACAAAGTTGAAATGGTAAATTGGCCACCGTAACGATTACTAAACCTCATGTTTCGAGAGTTCGCCCTTCGTCGCAGCGAATAAAGGAATTGTGGGTTGTGTGTGCTTTTACAGGCAGATAATGGAGCCACGTTATTGGTGGGAACATGGCAACAAGAAAGACAAGAATAAATTAGTGGAATGAAAAGCGTTCGTTGATCCCTGTGGGATTTAGACTGACGGTTTGAAAGATGAGCTTTTGTTCAAGATTTTTACGGCTTTCCGTGCAACCTAAGTGTAAGGAAAGACCGCAGATTGCCATATGTTGCTTAGAATGATTAGGTAAATTAAAATGCCTAGCGACTGGTTTCGATGTGTCCTTGTCATTCCTTTCCACGTCTCGAAGGTGGTCTCGGAATCAATCATCTAGTCTGGGTGTTACGAAAACGAAGACCCTCGAAAACGAAGACCTAAGACCTAAGACCCGATCTTCTTTTTCGTACTACGAAAACGAAGATCCCCGGTCTTTGTTTACGTACTACGAAAACGATGACCCTGTAAACAGAAAACCGTAGAAATTACAAGTTAAACACACATTAAACAGGAACAACGCTTAGTAATATAATACATTACACTTCATGCGTTTCTTCCATTATCATACTGCCCGTATTATTGTACTGCCCGCATTCGGCCCTTCTTGTCAGTGTTCTTTTTCGCTATGCGAGCCAATTTGGTGTTGATATTCTCGAGGGTTTCCTCGCGTAAACTTACCACACATATTATTATTCTGGAACAGCAGGCAGAATTCGAACGCTAGCCGCCGTTGATTTATGGTTAGCATTGCGTGACACAATAATAGAGAAGGCGTTCTGTACAGGAAAATTTACTCTTGGGTTCTGTCAATAAACAATCAATTTCTACTGTGTTTCGTAGCTAAAATAGATTCTGACGGTCGTTCAGCTTTCTCTGCTGGAAAATTCTCGTTAAAAAATAAGCAATTCTTTTGGCTTATGCAGGGTCTTCGTTTTCGTAGTACGAAAACGAAGACCCCTGGTCTTTGTTTTCGTAGTACGAAAAAGAAGACCCCCGGTCTCGTTTTCGTACTAGGAAAACGAAGACCCTGTAAAACAGAAAACCGTAAAAATTACAAGTTAAACGCACATTAAACAGTAACAACGCTTAGTAATATAATACATTACACTTCACGCGTTTCTTCCATTATTGTACTGCCCGTATTATTAGACTGGCCGTATTATTATACTGCCCTTATTATTAAACGGCCTGTCTAGTCTGGTCTGTTTCGCTATGCGAGCCAATTTGGTATTAATAGTCTCGAGGGTTTCCTCGGGTAAACTTACCACACATATTATTATTCTCGAACAGCAGGTAGAATTCTAACGCCAGCCGCCTTTCATTTATAGTTAGCATCGCGTGACAGAATAACAGAGAAAGCTTTCTGTACAGGAAAAATGACTCTTAGGTTATGTCAATAAATAATCGATTTCTACTGCATTTCGTAGCTAGAATAGGTTCTGACGGTCGTTAAGCTTTCTCTGCTGGAAAATTCCCGTTAAAAAATAAGCAATTCTTTTAGCTAATGCAGGGTCTTCGAAAACGAAGACCTCCGGTCTTTGTTTTCGTAGTACGAAAACGAAGAACCCCGGTCTTCGTTTTCGTACTTCGAAAACGAAGAGCCTTTATTAAAAGCAGACAATCTTTTGAAAGTACGATTGTAGAAGTACCCTGAGCACTAGTAATTGTTATTTCAGCTTTTGATATGTTAAGACAGTTTGCGCGTGATTTTTCTTGTTCTTTCTTCAGCCACCACTGCTTTCGGCTCTTGGATTTGTTTTTCTATGCATTGAGTCCAAGTTTGGAACAGACATCCCTGACGAAGGAGCGATCGGAATATTTTAGGGCCTCAATAAGGTTAAGCAGGCTTTATTCGGGCGCGTTCTCTCTTTTTCGGCCTAGCGCGCATTGCGTGACGGACGTGTACAGTGAGAGAACACGATCTTGTTATTGGCGGTGTGACAAAACAATGGCTTCCTTTGAA